AATTCTACAACATCTACGTAGACTGACAGATTTATAATTTTCTTGTTCAGTTTTGTCCCACCTTTTTATGACTTGCCATTACATTTATAATTCTCTAGGGCGAGGTTAGAGCTCCTTAGCGAGAGCTTAAATAACATAGCTTCGGTTCTATAGATAAATGGATAACATCCCATCCCTCATTTATCTAAGCAGAACTTGGAAATTTCATCATACCTCTGCAATCTATTAAGCCGGTTTAAAACTTCTGTGGAACCTCTGTATCAGTTACACTAAAACCATTCAATATTGATAGAGCTCCTCTTATAACATGGGGTTTGGACATCTTTTATCGTTAAACCTTACATGAAATATTTATTTCGCACGTATCTCTTTTTCATCTTGTGCTATTAATCTAGTATTATCTTGTTAACAATTTGCTTAACATTTTTAACGTTCTTTAGCTGTTCTAATACTGATTCTTTGTATTATATTTTACTCCACAGAAACATTCTATTCCATTTCTTTCTCCGTGATTCTAATGTCTTTTTTTCTGACTTGCCAGCAGCTAGGTACACTGTTTTTCTGTCCAGGGTCTTTTTTACGCAGCATGCAGAGTGCTGTTTTCCTTCCTTTCTTTTATCCTTAAAGTCTTCAATAAGCTGTTTAGGACATAGTTTCCTAATATGCCACTTATCCTATTTCACGAATGAATTTCCTTTGACCCTTTAATATTATAACAATCCTTCTGTGAATCTGAATTCACTTATTTCCAGTTCCCTCTCTGTGAACCCCGCCTTGTCTCTTCACAGTCTGCTTTTCTAAATTTATAAAACCTAATTTTAGACACCGCCTTAAGAGATTTAAAGTATGCCAATGGTTCCCATATCATGGTCACAAATTGCCCATTTGTTCTGCTGCATCTGTTCCTTTATCCTGGTTGTTTCAAAAGACTAGCCCAATAAGAGCACCTATCCTAATGGGTGCCTTTACAAACTAGGTTAAGAACCAACTGAATCAATTTCAGATTCTGTATTTGCTATTGCAACATTCCAGTTTCTGTGTGGAAAATTGAAGTCCCCTCATAATGTTATGTTACCTTGGCTTCTTACATTCCATATCTCATTATACAGAAGAAAATGTGCATTAGAAAGTCTAAAACATATACTTACTGTTAAACACTTAAAATATATATTTTCCAGTTTACCTCGTACATATTCTAAACTGCCTGTATCCTCTTTTTGAGTTGTCTAGTAGGTTGTAGGTTATTTCTGACATATTGTCCCACCAGATCCCCCCTTTAATCCAACTTGTCTTCCTAAACAAATATACCTATTAATTAAAAACCCTTGTCTATGTTTCAGGTATTCCACTGATGTCAGTTACCTGTTAATATGGTATGCTATCTGGGAATGTATGAGGTTATTTCTGGAACCTAGTTCATTTTGTTTTATATTGTTTAAGTAATAAACTAGATTATGGACTTTAATGTTTTATTTGCTATCCAAAGACAAACCACACTAACATCTCTTCACTTTCTCTTTACAGGACTCTAACACACATTCTTCCATGGATTCTATTTCATTTCCATAAGCAAAACAGATTGACCATCTTACGTGTCCAGTGACGTCTCTAGCCCTGTAAATGCAAATACAAAGTCACTACTGACAAAAGTGCCCAAGTATAATTTCATAACAAGTAAAGGTTTATTACTTGCTGAAAGGTGAAGAAGAGAACACCTCTACACATTTGAAGAAGGCTCCGCATTTGAAATGTTGTGTTTCTTTTCTTTACCTTTCAGCATGGAATAAACCTTTACTTGTTATGAAATTAGTTTAACCTTTACCTATCCTTTGCAGCCTGCGCATGCTGATGCAGCTGCTTAAGGGAACATCTTCAAATATAATTTCACTAGGAATAACAACATCCAAGAATTGAGCAAAGTTTATGGAGTGTTTTAAATACAACAAAAATTTGCCTAAAGCCGCTAGGCTGAGGACAGACCTCCTGGCCAGAGGACAAGGAGGTTGAGACCCCTATGTGGAGTGAGGGAGACCAAGAGGCAGCTGCAGAGGTGGAGATGGGGTGGGGGTGGGATGGAAAATTATGTAAGTGAGGGAGAGAAGGCCATTATGTATAGTATTTCTAATGTTAAAGTGAGACAATGACTTTAATATCGGTTTCAGCTGTCAACAATTTGTAATCAAGATTGATTACAAATTATTGACTGCTGAGACCGATTGAACCTAACTGTTTTTTATCCCTTCCAAACTTCATTTCACTATGAATAACAACACCTGGGAATTAGGTGCATTGAACAGTTTATGGAGTGTTGTTGTCAAAATAAAATGTGGTTTGGTCCATTTCAGAATCAGGGGGAGAGTAAAATGTGAGAGAAGTGTTCTGTGACGTACTGTATGGTTTGAACTGTAGGTTGTACTGGAAGTTAGAAAGATGGAGAAGAGCTGGTTTAAGGGTATTTGTATTGAATCTTATGTAAGCGAGGTAGGCTTCTGATGACCAGAGGCCAAGCTGCTTAATGAGATAGTCAGGAATGCCTTGATGAGCTGCTGGGGAAGCTTTATTCGGGAAGGAATTGCCAGGGAATTGTTCAGCAGCAGATACAGACCTTGTGAGAACATCAAGCAGGTGAAAGAAAATCACAGGAAAATTAAAGAAAGTACAGATTATTTATTTTTAGAAGCAGCAGTAACCATTGCCCATTTAATATTTCTAGTTTAATAATACTATGGCAGTCATACTTGCAGGCCTGGACCTCTGGAACACTAAGGCTCCCATTTTGGATGGGCTGTAGGAACATACTATAAAATCATAAGAAATAATAGAAATTAATGGAGGCCACTTCTGTTTAGTTTCTACTTGTGCCCTCTGGTTCGTGCTGCATTGCTTATTTGGATGAAGTTGTTGGGTTGCCTTTGTCAATGCCTTTGAAATTTTGAATACTTATATCTAATCCCATTGTAGTCTTCTCTGTTCAAGACTGAAAAGGTTCAGTTCCTTCAGCCTGGGAGTGTAGGACATTCCAATAAAACCCAGATTGTATTTTTGTTCCACCTCTCTGGACAGATTCCAGAGCAGCAATATTTTTTTTTCTGCAACGTGGCGACCAAAAATGTACACAAAATGAATAAATAAGACCTTGCTAGTGCATTATACACCTTTAATGGACAGAGAAGGAGTCACTCATATTGAACTAGTAATTATATACTTTTATTGTTCTTATATTTGAGAAAAACTTTCTTTTAAGTACTCTGCTACATAGTTATAGGAGTGAGAAATTGTTAAAATATTAGCTGTGCAAATCATCACATTAATTAAAGGTCTAAAATGCAAAAATGCTCATCTGATTATTGGGACAGGTGTACAATATCCTGTCATTACAATAGCAGTAAAGAACAGAACCATAGCTGTGCATTAAAGTAAACAATCATATAATTGCTTGGTAGCACGTTTTATTTCTTAATAGTACAAAGGGCAATTTCCTCTGCCCAGATAGAGAAACATCCTAATTTATGATGCATTGAAGCTATATTTGATAAAATAAATTACTGATTGCTGCTTTAAACAGACGTTCTCAGAGCTAATAAATATCACAGGTATACCTTCATTAACTAACAAAGATGCAAAGCCATCCTTAGATATAATATCCTTGAAAATATTACTGTGCAACCTCCTCACCAATGACTTTATTATATTATTCTCTGCAGAAGGAAATGAAGTGTACTGGTTGCTTGAAGATAATTACCTTTTATGAAAGAGGATAATCTGTGAAGAAAACCGCAAGGAAATTAAAGTCAGTGGAACCTATGCAACACACCACACACACACAGAAAACCTGGCAGTTATTCAAACTAAAAAAATAGTCAAGGCAGAGAGAGGGAAACAGATTGTTTGATTATGGTGTGACAGGCATCACAGCAATAACTGCATAAGAAGAATCAGCAGTTGGTCATTAGGATCATGCTATCTGACAACCAGACTCCTCCTCATTTAAACATGTGCTGCCTTGCAGTGTGTGAGGGTCGTCTAGGAAACAGCAGCAAGAATACTCATGTCACTGGCATCAGTAACAAAGTCATTTCTGTTTTGGGGGAACATGTTAGTACCTCCTTAGTTTATCAAAGGCCCAACTAGCTAACCCAGGAATACTCTGCAGTTCTTTTACAGTTGTGGGCAGTGTATGCAAGATGTATTCCGTCTAAATAGAAAATGGAGAAAAAGGGAATATTTCATGCCAAGTGAATAAAGTGAGACTACTTGCCTGGGTATCCTAACAGAGTTACTATTTCACAGACACACCTGTGCATTTTGTCCTACTCAAGAGTCCAGGGTGACTTTTTTTATTACAGTACACAGTTTATAATTATACTTAATTATACACGTAATTATAATTATATAATTAATTATATGAACATACTTGGAGACACACATAGCTAAATCACTTTTTTAAACTCCTGCTATAAAGTGAGATTTTTATTCAATCACAAAAATGTCTTCTTTCAAAAAATGGTAGAGAATTAAAAATACACCAGTATTTTAAGTGCGATTTTCATGGAAAAAAATAAAACTGAGTTAATACCTCAAGCAACATTTCCACAACTCAGCTTTATGAACAACGCAAACCACACTCGCATCAACCATTTTAACTTCCAATCCTGTGAATTTAAAAGATTCCCCGCCTATCAGAAGTTTGTTACTTATGACTGGATTAACTGTACGTCTGTCAAAAGACTGATCACAGCCTTCAGAGCCCAAGTATGTTTTGCTCGTCTATTGGCCAGGCAGCCACTGCTGTAACTTTTCATTGGCAGGGTCATCATCGCTCAAAGCCCGCCCTCCCTGTCCAAGTCTGTCTAGGAAACCAGTTTCCTGATGAATCTCATTGGATGAATATGAGGAGGGAGGAGGGGTTTCTTCGTCTACCACTTTTCATTGGAGAGAATGCCAGTCTGTCATCTACGACTCGTGTGACGAAAGAAGCTGATATGCTGCTATTGGCTGGACCCTGTTTATGGTTGCGCGAGTTGGGGGGGGGATACAGACTGGGTACATTGTAGCATTTTATAGTTATGAAATTTTATTTTGTTTGCAGTAAGGGTTGAAAGGAAGCAGGAAGTCTCGTAACAATAAAGCCGAACAGAAAGTTTCTATGAAAGCGCCCGTGCCTTTGTAGGTGTTGCTGCAGAGACGGACGCCTGTCTGTGCGAGAATGGTGGGGCTGGAGCCGCGGCTGCTGAGATAGCTGGAGTCCGCCCGGCTGCCTTCCTGCAGCGCGTCAGTGCCAACAAACAGCTGCGAGTCGGCGAGCAGAACAGACCCACTCGGCATTTTTATAGAGAAAAACTGGATGCATTTCTACAGGAGGAGAACATTGTCTTTTTGACTTCACCGATCATCTTAAAGTTTATTTTTTTCATTTTTGCGGTTGCCATTCACAGTTTTAAACGAACTGGTTTATTTTTTTCTTAAACTTATTTACCATCAATTTATTAATTTTAAAGCTGAACTTCAGCGACCTGTAGATTGTCCATTTAACGCGAATAATGCTCCGGGGTTTGGACTTGCTGTGTACATTTTATGATTCAAAGAAGGAAAGGTCACTGATATAAACCTGGACTGATAAGGTTTAATTATCCGGTTCTGTCAAGAGTTTGGTGCGTTTTCTTGCCGTGGAAAGCTAACCCTGCGTTTATAAAATTACGTTATTAAATAAGATGTTCTTAATGGGACATTCCGGTCAAGGATTAAGCAACGGATGGTTTTAATATTTCATTTTAGGAAGTATTCTTCTCTCTTCAACATCGGAGCGGACTTTTAAGTTTTGTGCTCCCTCATCGAGCGGAAGACTGTTGAAGTGGTAACCTTGAAGTGGATACAATATTGAGCGCAACTGCAACAGCATCAACATGTCGGCTATCTCTGCGGCGGAGAAAGTAGATGGGTTCACTAGGAAATCGATGAGAAAAGCCCAGAAACAGAAGCGATCGCAGGGATCGTCCCAGTTCCGAACCCAGAGCAGCTTCATTGAGCTCTCGCCTCTGCCTCAGCTCAAAGGTAAGAGGATAGAAGCGCCTGAAATAGCCTCTGCGCTGAAGCAGGGGTCGCTTGACGCCGCATCCCGATTTAATACTTGAAAGAGTGGCTTAGTGCAAGCAGTGAGCCAAATTGTCTAGCCCATTCCTAGCAGCCAAGCCTAGGAGAACTGCAGCTACAAAAATACGTGCGGCTTACGGTTCTCCGATATGGACATTTTAGGCAATGAATCCTTCATGAAAACCACAGAGTATGTCTAGATTAAGCTACTTTTATGATGTACATTTGTAAAAGTAAGCACGCAATATGAAGTTAACGGGAAATTAAACATCTGTAGTACAATTATCGAGCTGAAGGCTCGGTATCTGAATTACATTTTGCCCAAGGTAGCGATAGTCTTAGCTACTGTTTTCGTTTTCGTTTTTGGTCGATTTGCTGTCTTGTTGATATTCTATTAAAATGAGCCTTAATTTATCCTTCAATCTGTGCTTTGGGGTGACCGATTCTTTTTATTTGGAAAACGTGCATTGTCGTTTACCGTGTTATTTAAAACGTTCAACAATTGGACTTGTCAGGTTGGCTGCGCGAGTCTAGTTGCTGTACAGTATTTTCTTGCAGGAATACAGTACTCGGCACCTATTTACAGCTCAGCTCTTCCTGTGAAGTAGATAATCTCTCCTAACACGACTAGTCCAGTGACATGCTCTACATTGTTTTACGTAACTGTGATTTCAAAGGCAATCACTGAACTAGGAATTTATATTTTTATCTCCCAGTGGAGTAGTCAATTCATTTTATTAGCCAAAAGTAAAATATGAAAGCTTCAATTATTATTATAGTGGTCCGGGGCTTCTCATACAGAGCATTTTGCTTTACTGTCCATAAACAAAATTCACCCTGTCTAAATCGGTTTTCCCAGAATGTTTCTTCGAATGCATGATGTAGTTTTTAACATATTGCAAGTAATGTGTTACTATAATTTAGCTTTCTTGCAAAAGAGCGCGTTTGAAGTTTGAAGCATACTTAGTTACAGTAAGATGTAGGGTGAGTCAGGAAATGCATTTCAGGGATGAGCACGGACCTACAAGATTATATCACTGGTAAAAGGTGTTTGTTGGTACAAAATTAGCATCTTTCTACAGTAATGTATAAAATCACGTTCAAGATAAGTGAGCGTTAATGAAGGATAGGATTGCTTTGTAGATTTCTCTTTATCAGGTGTGTGTTCATGATTCTTACTCATTAAATATAAAGCATTGGTTTTTAAAAAATCTCAGTTTGGGAAGTTTAAATGTGGGCTACAGTTTTGCATCTTTTACTATTGCCTTTGTGTTAGTGTTTTTTAGTGGAAGCTGCGAAACAAATGGGAAATGTAATGTTTATTATTGGATGGGATTGGGGGGAGATGATAGCTGTCCAAAATGTGTTGATCTGAGACAACACCTCTGCTAAGAAATCAAAATAAAAACAACCAGATGTTCTCTGACACTTTAAAAGTAAATTGAAATACTGATATTTTCCTCCTGTGTCGTTCTACACCAGTGAAGTTGGCCTTTTAAGTAAACAAGTATGTATTTACATCATCATAATAATGTCCTGTTTGTTATTTTATTCTTTTAACAATACTGTTTTATATGTTGTTTATAATAAAGATTGTGTGTGGTGTGGGGACTAATTGGTTATCTATAGCTAGTTGAGAAATGTCATAGTTAATCAAAACCAAACTGGAAACCAATAACATCCTTGTCTTCTCTAGGTTTTGAAAATCGATTGGCTTCCTTTGTCATATTTCTGTTCAGGTTTTCTCTCATATGAGGTTTCTCCTGCCTGCATCTCAGGCCTGCCTACAGATCCAGCCTGTTAGGTTCTGCATGATATGTAGGCCTACTACAGTGGTGACAGGTGTGACTGGCTGTATGAGCACACATACGAACTGATAAAATATACTGGTTTAGACAGATTTGGAGAGAGAGTGAAACCATGACAGCAAATAGGGTCCAGTATGACTGTGGTTTTATTTTTGGATATTTTTCTGGTACCTGTGCGTGTCAACCTTCGGTCAAGAACATTTGCACATGGTAAATTAAGTTGCAGTCAAGTGCATTTTTCCAAGCTAAACAAATTGCGAGGATGTCTGGCAACCTTTGCCATAAAGGTCTGGTAACAGGATTGATTGGATTTTGGTTTAGCCGACCCTGTCAGAGCGACAAAGAAACAAATAATTAAACTGATGCGAACAGTGCTTGGATTAGGGCAGAGCGACTATTTGAAAAGAGTTTGACATTAAGTAGTGAAGTCAGATGGTGAGAATTCTGTCCCTGCTCTTCATCAAACTGTGATTACTATTATTATTTATCGGAAGGTTTAATCTTTAATAGTACTTTGTGGTCATACTATTGATTATGCAATGTAGTAGGTGTACTATACTTGAAAAAATTGAAGTTTCATCTAGATTTTTATCATTTGCATTCTGCAAACTGTGAGCTTTGGGCTTTTAAATGTCGGCTTTATATAGCTGAATAACAATTGTAAAATATATTTTTATAGTTAGTATCCAGGTACAGGGCAGAAAATGTATGAAAAAGCAATGTATTGTAGAACCAAGATAGCATTTAATACAGAAGCTATTTGATGAAAGGGAAATGATCTGTGATTCTCACAATGTTGTACAATGTATATAAAATCAGTTTTTTGTAGTATAGTTCCATGGAAACAGTTCCAAAATGTGTGCTAAAATGAAATGTAGTCATAAAGTTTGCTGTGCCATTCAGTGACACAATCGTAAATAATCTTTAAGATTTGGAATATATTTTAATTTACCCTGTCTTTGCAGGGAGAAACTCAAAGTGGAGTGGTAAAATTTGGGGATATAAAGATCTGTAATTACACCAAGTTAACAATTGATTCAGTTATTGGAGTTCCTTGTTTGCAGCTGCTGTAAATCCTGCATAATCATAATCACTGACTGCAACTGCAGTGCTCTGGGATTCAGACAGAATGAAGCTTTTGATGTTTTTTCACAATTAGTTTTGTGCTTTACAGCACCTAAATGCTATAGTTTGCAACCATGTTAGCACTGCTGTGTTTGGCATTGAAGGAAAATGGTTACTTTCACATGGGTTCATGCTTCTGGCTTAGTGTATTTGTCATGTGAAGCACTTTGGGTTGCTAAAACAAAATTAGTTTGAATTGCATTAACTAATAGCTGTTTAACTTTGATATTCACCTGCAAATTTTGGTAGATTGCTCTGTGACACATTTGGCTGCTGCTACCTAGGTTTTGTTTCATTCTTGATAAAGGAAAGACTAAGAGAAAAGTTCATTTTGTTTTGTATTTACAAATGCATCTAGACTGCATATACATATGCATTTTTTTGCCACACAAAATCGTATGTGTGACAATGTGATTCCATCCATCTTGTAACCTGTTTATCCAGTTCAGTGTCGCTGGGGAGCTATCCAGGCAAGCATAGGGTGCAAGGCAGGATACACCCCGGACAGGACACCAACAGACACAAACACATACACACTTGTACCAGGGCCAGTTTTACCAGAAGCCAGTTAACCTACCAGTTGAGTAAACCAGAGCACCCAGAGAAAACTCACGCAAACGGAGGGAAAACATACAAACTCCATAGCACCCGTGGAATTGAACCCAAGGCCCCAGGGCTGCAAGGCAGAAATGCTCACCACTGTGTCACTGTGCCACCCCTGAGGTGTAGTAATGTAACAGAAATACATGGTTGCTTTTCAAACATAAGTAACTATTAAATATTTATTTTGACTAATGGGAAAACAAACAACTTTTAGTCCTTTATTTTCCACTGCAAATTTTTAAAGTAAAAAAAGTCTCGCATCTCTGTTTTGCTATTGCTCTTATTTAATCTTTCTGCAGACTGTAACTGAACATTATGGACTGACTAATTTGAGAAGTGTCCACATGAGGTTGGAGAAAATAAAGAATCGTAGTTAGTAGTCCATCATATCTTTGGACACTGTGCAGTAAGGATCATATGCATTTCCTTTAATTTGCAGGCTGGTTTTATTTACCTGGTAATCAAGGCTGTCCACTCTTTGTAACATGTCTCTTGTCTTTTGTTTGTCTTTGCAGAGCAGTTCATGTGCTGGGATAAAATCTTTCATTGTTACAAGGCAAATGTCTTATCATAAAGCAGTCACATAATTGTAAGATGCCTAGCGGATTTTAATGCAGATATTTATTTCCTTATGTTAAATGCAGCTGGCAGACTTCAGTTCACTGATATGGATTTGCATTTACTGCAAGAGAACTGACCCAGTTTTGAACTCTAATGTTTGTGGAAGATGTCTTGTGAAGTTTAAGTGCCATACTAACTGTATTATATGTAGTACATTTGGTCAGTTGTTGGAGAGAAAATTGAACTAGCGTAAGTCTAACATGGCTGGGTTTTAATTGAATTGTACATTTCCTGTAGTGCCTGTAAGAGGACAATGGAGTTAGTTACACTCCAGGTGTAACTACAAAATTACTAGAGAAACATAAAACTAGACATTGTTTTATCTTTTCTTGTTTTTTTTTTTACTTACCGACAACCATTAAAATGAGACATGGGCATATACTATAGATCAAATACCACTTTTAAAGGTTCCACAAGACGTATATTCAAATTACATTGAACCAAACCCACTTCTAGAAACCATGTCCTAATTCTGAAAAAATACAATATAATACAGCTGTCAATAATTGTCCAGATTCACACCAAGCAAAAGCAAAGAGATTTGCTGCAAAATAAATTAAAACCAAAAATCAGTTATAACATCATAAATGTTACATTACTGCATTAAAACCATCTTGTAGTACATTGTATGAATGGGATCAAACTTCATTGTTTATACTTGGTAATATTGTATAGTATTACTATTTAATTTTGTACAGTTGTAGAATACAGTCAGTGAAGCTGTGACATTATATATATATATTTTAGACCTGACATTTTTCAATCTCTTTTAAAACCAAACAGGATGGTTTTGCTGCCATAGGA